CAAGGTGAAAGAATGTATCCTCCCGGATCCCATAACTTGAAGTAGAGGGACACAACAAGGCATGAAACATGATAACTAATGTCTGGATCATACACACTGTTTTGGGTGGTAGGTTTGGCCCAAAAACATAGCATGACAGCAGTAGGCATTAACAGTGGTTGGATCAAATCAGAGGAAAATCCACCCTTCACCAAGGACCTGTCAGGATCTGGCAGCTTAAGCAAATGTGGGGGTAGGCTGTCCAACTTTAGAGAAGTCCATCTCTCTTTGGTAGTTGTTCTAACCAGTCTCACCCTCGAATCAAACACTATACTCGTCCGTACCTTGTTCATCAAATTGTTTGCCAATACCAAGAAATTTGCAAGAATCTACCTTTGTCTCTTGTCGCTGTTCCACAATGACATTCACGTTGAAATCTTCTGCATCTCTTTCTACTTTTGCAGTTTCTACCTCTTCCTTGTTTTTCTCTTCTGCTGTCTGAATGAGATCAGAATTTCCTTGGGCAGTTTCTTCTTGTTGAAAGTTAAATGTGCGAGGCATCGTCGACTCTATTTCCAATTCAAGTTCTTCTTTTTCATCGGATATAGGTAGAATGTCTCTATACTCTGGCTTAAAATGCCAAAGTAGTGCAACATGAAACGTTCGCCAACTAACTTGTAGATGGTGTTGACTCCACCAGTATAAATAGTTATCAATTGGATGGATGTTGTTTACTATAACTAAAAATATACATGTATTCATTAGTATAAATAGTTATCAATTGTAACATTGTAATCAATCACAAAGAAAACAAAATTACTTAATAAAGAAAAAAAAACTCCAGCGAATTTTTTTGTACTTTTGAAGAAAATTTTAATATTCTTTTCCTTGTTATTCTTATATCAATATATTTATATCAAGGCAATTAGATTTTATTACCATTCTTGTTTGCTTTGATGTATAAAGCATGCTCATATGGACTTCTATGAAATCCATTATTTATGAAGTATGTTCAATACGTGTGTACCAAGCTCTTGGTGCCTGCTTTAATCCATATAGTGCTTTCTTCAACTTGTACACTTTATCTTCATCTCCTTGTTGTAAATAACCCGGTGGTTGTTCTACATAAACTTCTTTTTCAAGCACACCATTCAAGAAGGCGGACTTGACATCCATCTGAAATATCTTCCATTGATTCTGGGTGGCAAGAGAAAGAATCATACGTACCGTGTCCATTCTAGCAACTGGAGCAAAAACTTCAAAATAATCAATTCCAGGTTTTTGTTTGTACACCCACTTGACTAAGCGTGCTTTGAAGCGGTCTACCTCTCCTTTTGGATTGTACTTTGTTTTGTACACCCACTTGACTTCAATGGGCTTCTTTCCTTCAGGAAGTGTTGTTAACTCCCATGTATCATTCTTCTCAATTGCATGAATTTCTTCATCCATTGGTTTCAACCAACAATCTTCATTGGCTGCTTCTTCATATGTCACATGATCACAATCAACAAATAAGGCATAATAAGTAATTTCTTCTTCCCCATCATCAGGATGATCATCTCTACCAGCTTCATAATCTTTCAAGTGAGAAGGTGGACGACGCTCCCTTTATGGATATCTATGAGGTGGTGATTCTTGTGTTGGTTCAGTGGATGGTTCATCAACTTTATCATCTACTTCTTCATTTACAATAACTGGTATAGGCAACAACTCCTTCTCTTTTTCTGACCAGTCCCACGATCCATCTTCGTCAAAGATAACATCCCTACTAATGACTATCTTTTGAGTTTTTGGATTGTACAACTCGTAGGCTTTTGTTTCTTCACTGTATCCTACAAAGATGCATTTTTCTGCCTTGTCATCAAGCTTCTTCCTCAGTTGATCTGGAACATGTGCATAAGCAATACAACCAAAAACTTTCAAGTTACTCAAATTTGGCTTTTGCCCACTCCAAGCTTCTTGTGGAGTTTTATCACGCACACTTTTCACTTGACACCTATTTAATAGGTATACTACACAAGTCACTGCCTCCGCCCAAAAACTCTTGGGTAAATTCTTGCAATGCAGCATGCTTCTCACATTATCCATGATTGTTCTGTTCTTTCTTTCTGCCACTCCATTTTGTTGAGGAGTGTATCTTGCAGTCATTTGATGTTTAACTCCCTGCTTTCTCAAGAAATCATCACAAACAATATACTCTATTCCCCTATCAGTTCTTAAGGTTTTCAGAGTATATCCACTTCGTCTTTCAACATACGCCATAAATCTTTTGAGTGTATTACAAGCATCCGATTTATTTTTCAAAACATAAACCCACGTCTTCCTACTAAAGTCATCAATAAAAGTAATAAAATATTTATTACCTCCATTAGATGGAATTTCCACATAGCGTAAATCAGAGTGCACAAGCTCAACTGGTTTTGTAGCTCTCAATGCATTTCCTTTAGGAAAAGGATCTCTATGCTTCTTTCCTACTACACAAGCTTCACATAGTTGATCAGGAGGTTGTATAACAGGCAAGCCAGTAACCCATTTCTTATTTGCAAGAAACTTTATACTTTCAAAGTTGAAGTGTCCAAGACGCATGTGCCAAAGCCAATTATCATCAATTGCTACAACTTTGCAACACATATTAGCATCATATTTGATGTTCATTGGAAATAGACGATTCCTTGACATGCTTGTCTTTGCTATGAGACCTGTCTCGGCATCATTGATAGTGCAACCTTTCTTATTGAAGTTTAAGTCATAGCCTTTCTCAGCAAGTTGTCCCACACTTAAGAGATTTTGACATATACTAGGTACATAAAATACATCAGAAATATAATTCAAAGATCCATCCTTTAACCTGATGGCATTCTTTCCTTTTCCCAAAACTTGGAAGTTTTGAGTTATCACCGAGCTTCACTGTGCTATGAAAATTTTCATCTAAATCGGAAAATAGTTTTCTATTCCCACTTAGATGGTTACTACACCAGTATCTAGTAACCATTGGTCATCATGTTTATCAGCTACAACATGACATGTTGTAAGTACCATCTTCATATCATCTTCAGTTTCTGCAACTCGAGCATGACTATCTCTAATATTCAATGATTTAGCACGACATTCTCGATCATAGTGACCATACTTTTTACAATTATAGCGCTGAATATGAGATTTGCATTCTGATTGAAAATGTCCGTACTTTTGACATTTGTGACATTGAGTATTAGATTTATTTTGAGAGGAGCCATTACCTCGTGAACTTTGGCTTGAATCATTTTGAAAATTTCTCTAGCTTCCTTTAGAACTTTGTCCTCTTTGAAAGTGGTTTGGCCTTCTTTGCACATGCCCCTCATTTCTCACATTTGTTTGAGCTTTTAACGCTTGCTCAAATGTACCACCTGATCTCTCGTTCATCCGCATCTCACGTGACTCCAGAGATGCTTGCAAATCATTTAAAGTTATTGTGGTGAGATCTTTTGCTTCTTTAATTGCTGCTACTACGTAATCAAAACGAGTTGAAAGAGTGCGCATAATTTTCTCTACAACATCTTTCTCCTTTATGTCATCACCGTTGGATTTCATTTCATTGACTAGTTTATCCATTCTTGAAAAATAGTCACGAATGCTTTCATCTCTTCCTTGCTCCATTAACTCAAACTGACGTTTTAATCCTTGCAACCTCGTTCGCTTAACTGGGTCAGCACCTTCATACGTTTGAAGTAAAATTTCCTAAGCTTCTTTTTGCTATTTTGGCATGGAAAATTTTCTCAAAAACAGATAGCTCCACATATTGACATATTAAAAATAAAGCTTTATCGTTGAGAAGACGATCTTTCTCAACTTGTTTCTCATCATCCTTCCCTTTATCTTCTTCACTTGGTTCAACGAAATCTTTCTTCATAATTTCTCCATACCCACTGGTTGCTAAACACAACTCCATCAAGCGTTTCCACATAGGAAAATTTGATCTACCATTAAATTTAAAAATGGTTGTTTACACCTGATGAACTTGATTAGCGCTTGAACTTGTAGCCATTTTAATATTACAAGCTCTGATGCCAAATGTTGACAATAAAATCTAATTGCTTTGATATAAATATGTTGATATAAGAATAGCAAGAAAAAGAATATTAAAACTTTCTTCAAAAGTACAAAAAAATTCGCTGGAGTTTTTTTTTCTTTATTATGTAACTTTGTTTTCTTTGTGATTGATTACAATGTTACAATTGATAACTATTTATACTAATGAATACATGCATATTTTTAGTTATAGTAAACAACATTCATCCAATCATTCAAGGTTTTCCTCAATTCACATCTCTAAAGCATATTCATAGAAACTCTATAAAATATAAAATAAACTAAGTTTAGTTTCCAACAACCTCTAACGAAGAACCGAACGAATATAGATTACCAGTTATTTTGTTAGGAAATGAAAGGATTCTTTCAAGCAAGATCACTATTGGTTTGGTTAGTTAAATTTAAACAACCACTTAGCTTGTATATTTACTAAATCTCTTAGACGACCTAAGGTTGACTCTTTTTGTAACAAGCTAGTTCATATGACATGTATGCAACAGCTCAGGGAGAGCACTATTTCAGGTAATTAGTGCCGGTTTTCTATAACATAGGAAATTATTCCTTGTGTAATTAATAGATATAGATAGATAGTATATACTATATATAATATGATAGTTACCTATATGGAGTGAAAAGACACACAATTCTATACAAGTCAAATCTTAACAAACCTGTTATTATACAAACAATCCTAAACAAACATTAATGGTTACTGAGATGGGTGGCATGCATAAACTTATATTCACGTATGCACGTTACCATATACAATTGCAAACATTATAGAAATCCGGATGTTTGATGTGCATGTAGCACTGTACTAATCAGTTCAATAATAAGGATAAAGTGAAGAGTTAACCGAATCATAGAATAAAGGTGCATAAAAGTTTGTCTCTCTCTCTTTTTGTATCATTTTCTTTACAAAAGTGAAGGAAAAACTTTTGCCATTAACATACCTGAATTTGCTGGATACCAGTCAGATCCTTGCAGAAGTCAGTCAGAAGCTGATTGCAGGTAGGCTTCACATATGTTTGGAAACATGCTTCCAGCTGACCAGTGACACTACTCACTATGACAGATGGAAACTCAATTATTTCTTGAGGATGGGGATTTTTATCCTTATCACATGTTGCCTCAAAGTCTATGACCACAAAATACTGAAATTCTTGAAATTGCTCACGCGAGTAACCTTGAGATAACATATTGATTGGAACATACTGGAGTGGGTTCTCGACAGGATAAGGATAAAAGTGGCTCTCAAAAGCATTCATTTGACACTGCTGCAGCTTGTGAGGGTTAAAATGGCAGGCTGTCCAGGCACTGTAATCATGGTGATAAGCAGGTTTACTGTGAAATTCATTGGAGTGCTCAAGAAACTCACAGCCTAAACGACGGTTAGATTCAGGAACACTCCCAGCTGAATGAGTACCAGACTCATTTGTAAGCTCCGGAAATCCTTCCATAGAACTCCCACTACACTGAAAAGTGAAAGGGGGTCCCTTTCCCTGGAGGCACTTTAGAGATGCCTCGCAGGATATTTGCATATTTTCTGCACAAAAAGAAAGAAAAATCATACATCTACAGTATATGGTCAGAAACTAAAAAAAACTATTAGCAAAAAAAGACAACAGATGTATTCTGTAATCAAGTTTCCCCAAAAGGACTGGATTGCTGACAAAATGGAACAATGTACCAGCTTTTCAAGATAGATAATAGATAACAAACTATTTAGTTTTCAAATGCTTAAACAACAACACTATATGGCACAACAAAACTGCTCGTACAAATTGAACAAATGGGTGAAACCTCAGACGTTGCGAATTTATCTCCAGCTTTGGATATTTTTAAATAAAAGAAAAGATAAATTGAAATCAAAAACAAAATCAATGTATAATCCAAAATAGAATAAAACAAAAACAAAATCAAAATCAAGCACTTTTTTCTTCTTAATTCTCTCTCGGCGTGAAAGGTGAAACTGATTTCACTTTGTTGGTAGTTTCTTATTGCTTGCCCTTCATTACGTCCAGCAATAAGACATAAAATTAAAAAGAATAAAAAGAACTGGCCATAGAAAAAGAATTTGAATATTGAAGGGCAAACCCTCCATCAGTGTTGTCGATGGCGGTCCAAGGCGGAGAGCCAAAATCCCGCCATACCAGCCACTTTGCGGCGCCATTAGAGTGAATTATGGAGGAAAAACCCGCAATATCAGCCAATATTTACCATTGTACCGAGTCCAAAAACCGCCATGTATATCCACCATAGTGCCGCCTTGGCCGCAATTTGATAAAACTGCTCTCCTTGCCACATGATTCATTGAATTTAAATGCATTTTTCTCTAGTAGACATTAGAATTTTTCATACTTAAAATTCACATTTGAGAATAGAAAAGATAAATTCAACACAACAAAATTTTAGTCATGGTCTGCTATCCAAGGAGTAACACAAATCAAAACAAAATATATAACAACAAATTACTCTGTTTTAAACTTGTATTACAGTAAACTACTCTGTTTTAAATTTTGAAAAGGCATTAAGCAAACACTCTTTCTCAAATGCACAAATACACTCCCAGCAAATTTGGCTCCATCACTTCACCAAATTCAAAACCTCACTCTTTCTCCCAGGTGCGACCTTCTTCCCAACCTCACTCCCACATCATTAACATGTCAAATCCCAACATCTCATCTCATACACAAGAGTAGGTAAGAAAAAACTAAAACCCATCACTCGTCACAACCAAAACAAACTACAAACTACTCAATCAAACCCAATTCCCACACACATTGTTCCCAACCACATAAAATCATCTATCAAACCAAAATTCAACAACCACAAAGCAAACACACACTGACTAACCCCAATTTCCACACTAATCAAAACCACAAATTTAAAATAGAACCTCTTTTTCATCCAATTCGTCAAAACCAAAACCGAATTTGAATAAATCAAAAAAAAAAATCTAACCTGAATTCTCAAGGGCCATCATGATCGTGAATGTAATTAAGATCCACAGGCGAGTACATGAGATCCTCGAGTACAACAAAAATCCTCCCTAAACAAAAAATTTCCAAAACCACAATCAAAATCACCGAGAAAGCGTATCAAAACGGAAAACAAAACGCAACAGAACGAAGAAAAAAAAACTCTCAACCTCGAAAACGTAGAGAGAAAGAGAACCTAGAGAGAGAGGGGTTAGAGAGAGTGAAATTACCTATAGCAATTTTACAAGCAACTTCTCTTCTTTCTCTTCTTGTAATGTAATTTTCACGATATAGTTAAAAGCACACGAACATGAACAGTGGGGCCCACGTTACACTGAAAAAATAAAAAATAAAAAATAAAAAAAACTGTATTGGGCGGAGAGGGACACGTGTCGAGCGATGGAGGGGGAGTTAGTAGTTAGTAGTGATAGTTTTCAAGTTTTTTTGGGTAATACGTGAGATATTTTGTTTTGGTTTTGGGTGTGACCACCGCTTAACGGTTGTACATTCTTTTCAGCCGTTGGATTCATTTTAGGGGTTTCATCTTCGGTTTCTTTTCATTTACGCTTTATCTCTGGGTTTTGATGATGTAGGACGTTACCCTGATTAATCATTTTTTTTATTTATAATATAATATACAAGGATTAATCTAATTAAATCAATAATATATAATCTATACTGTTGCTTATCAGTTTTTGTTTAATAAATAACATATTTATTAATTTATATATATATAATTTAGCTATTTTTTTTGCTATTTTAAAGATTCAATTTTTTTATTGAATTGATTCGCATCTATTAAGGAATATTCTTTTATAATTATTAATATAGAAGTTTTTAAGTGTTATAGTTTATAAAATTTTAATTTTATATGTTTTATATTTTTTCTATTATTTTTTATATAGTTTTTATGTGATCTACAAGTTTTTTTTAAACTTTTTTTTACTTAATATTTTATAGCCTATAATTTTAAAAAGAGAATTAGTTAGATTCTTAAAATTTTAAAATATATCACGTTTGTTCTTTTCATCTGATATGTTTGTCAAAGTTAATGAAATATTGTCGATAGTGTTGTTATTTTGTATTGATGTGTATGATAATACTGTTTTAGACTGGGCCGACACTTGCTCCACTATTCGGGAGGCCCAATTCAACGTCTTTACAAAAGTCCAAAAGTGTGCAATCCAAACTGAGGACCGTTAGGTATTTTCCCACGTTTCTACTATGAGAACATGACTCATGTATCATCATCCTGCCCTCCGAGAATAACGGGTCCAACTTCCCTGCTTTCTTGGGGCAGTTGATCAGGGAGGAGGCTACCTGCTGGACTCCATATACCTGTAAATCCTGACAGTCTTCATTATTGGAGCTCATCATAGCCCATCATTGAAGACCTTGGCCCAACACCGTGGGTTATAAATACTCTCTCACTTGAGAGGGTCAGGTATTGATTCATTCGCCCATACTCTCACACTTACTTGCACTTACTCTAAACATTACTTTGGCATTGGATTGTCTTGCAGGTACGATCAGTGGCGTCGTCTGTGGGAATCCAGCTTCCCTATAACACCCCAATTTTACCCGACAATTATATATGCAAATCAGAGTTATAAAATTCATGCAACTGAATCAGGATGCCACAAATTCAACTTTAAAAACACATTGCATTCAACATGGATACATAACACTTTAAAACTTCGGATGAACCATCAGCATAATAATTTAATCTCTTAATTCAACAACTTAAACATCTACGCAGCGGAATCAGAATAACATCTTTGTCCAACAATTACAACAACTTCAAAATAATGCATACTTAGCAACAGATAAATTAAAGTTCAACAACTGAAATAATCAATAACTAAAAGCAACAAGCGTTCATCCCTCCGAGTGTTACGTATCAGAGCAATGACACCGACTCAAACTACCGAAGGTATACCACCTTCACTTTGGATTACGTGCACGTTACCAACATAAGGGTAACATTCAAACAGAAGGGGTGAGATATCTAACAATATAATAAAACGTATGATAAGTAATATATTAAATTAGATCACATAACATCACCACTTCTCATCATATAAACAACAATAATCGCAACAGAATACCAACAATAATACACATTCACGCATCAATACACAACTTCTTTATGCAATCTTATAATGCGACTCAATACTATGCAAATGCATGTGGTACCATTGGAGCAGAACTCCCATATCAAATAATTGCCAATAAATAGAGGCATCAACAAGGCATAAGCCTTCATCTTAATATTCGCCAATACAGACCATCTTAACGAGCATCAGCTCCATCTTGAAATGCAATATATGCGACTCAATCATGAATGTAATAACAATAACCATAATTAGCAACATCTCAATGCAACATCATCGTTGACCAGAAGCCTACATCTTAATAGCTGCCAATTATTAGAGGCATCTCAACATCATTCATCAACATCATTCATCAACATAAGTCATCAACATAATTCATCGCATAATTCATCAACATAATTTCATCACATAATTCATCAACATAATTTCATCAATATAATTCATCAACATAATTTTACAGCAACTCAGCCACAACAATAATACAATGATATATCGACAATCTCACAACGTTTGCCATAGGCCTACAACGTGATAATGCCTATAATTAATTAATCATCTAAGGCTTAACTCTAGTTAATGAACCTCTACATATTATTAATTTTGTAATAATATATCATTATCATCATTAATCTTACTGTCATGAACCAAACAATAATCTATAATCATCTTATCTTCATCATACTTCACAAAATCGTCATAACGATTAATGCGGGAAGCTAACTCTAGTCCTAAATTGGGTACTAGGATTTAATCTCCTTATCCTTCATTTTAATCCTTCAGAATGAAGTTCACTGTGTTATCTATCCAACGCTTCGAACGATACCTCAAATTGTGTATGGAAACTCAAGTTACAGCCCTTGGACGAATTTGCCAAAAAATAAGGCTACATGAGTCGACGCGTAATGTCTTGAGTCGACGCGTACTGGGCTTAACACGCTGCATGAGTCGAAGCGTAATCCTCTTGGGTCGACTCATACTGAGTTTGTAACACTGCATGTATCGATACATAGTCCTATGTATCGACTCATCCTGAGTCTAAAAGCCTGCATGTATCGACGCATGGCTTCTTCGTATCGACTCATCCTGAGTCCAGAAACCCACATGTATCGACGCATGCTTCTTCGTGTCGACTCATACTGTTTTGTAATGAATATTTTCTATGATTTCACTGTGTTTTCACTATGGTTTCCCTGCCTTAGGCCCTAAAAACATCCTCTAATCATAGAAAATCATCAATTACAATTATCCTATGTTTCTACATCAATTATACAATATTAGGGCATCATTATTCATCTTTAAATCATTGTTCTTCATCAAACAACAATATATACATTCAAATCATAAACAAAACAACTTTTTACATCTAATCCCACATACTAATCATCATAAACCCTATTATAGAGTCAGAACCCCACCATTACCTTGGATTGAAGGTTGTTCTACAACTTTTTCGATTGAATTTTGTTCTGCCTCTTTTCCTTCTTTTCTGCAACTTTCACGTTCTCTTTCTCTTCTTCCGACCCTTATTTCCTTTTCTTCTTACTGCTTCTTCTTTTTCCTCATTATTTCTAAAAATAATATAATAACCCTATAATTCTATTTATGCCTCAATGGGCTTAAAACTCCTACACCCTGTTTTCTACTACTTCTACTCATTCAAACAAGCCCACATCAAATAGTATTATCATTCTAATATTATTCCATAACTTAATAAAATAAATAAATCCAATAACAACAACACATCAACTATCATCATGACATAACTTCACAAATATTCCAAAAATAATTTAATTAAATTACGGACGTTACAACTCTCCCCCACTTAGAATATTTTCGTCCTCGAAAATTTACCTTAATCAAACAACTCAAGATAGGAGTCCCGCATCTTGCTCTCCAACTCCCAAGTCATGCTTTCTCCGGCAGATCCTAGCCAAACCACTTTAACCAAGGCAATCTCTTTGCCCCTCAGCGTCTTTATTTCACGATCCGCGATCCGTACAGGCATCATCTCCATCGTAAGGTTATCCCGTACTTGCACATCATCCGTATGAATCACATGAGATGGATCTAAAATATACTTCTAGAGTTGTGACACATGAAACACATCATGCAAATTCGAAAGATTTGACGGTAAAGCCACTCTATAAGCCATATTCCCAACTTTCTCTGAAATATGATATGGTCCAATAAAAGGAGAAGTGAGCTTCTTAGACTTCAATGCTCGCCCAACATCAGTCACATGTGTAACTCTCAAAAACACATGGTCACCCACTTGAAATTCTAAATCTTTCCTTCGCTTGTCATGATAACTCTTCTGTCTACTTTGGGAAGCTTTCATCTTTTCTCGAATCAACTTCACATTCTCAGTAGTCTCACGAACAAGTTCAGGTCCAAGTACTACACTTTCACCAGATTCATGCCAGTATAAAGGAGTTCTACATCTTCGACCATACAACACTTCAAAAGGTGCCATCCCAATACTAGAATGGTAACTGTTATTATAAGTGAACTCTATCAACGGAAAATAAGTATCCCACGAACCTCTCTGCTCAAGAACACATGCCCTCAGCAAGTCTTCTAATGATTGAATAGTCCGTTCAGTCTGACCATCTATCTGAGGATGATACGCCGAACTCAACCTCAACTTAGAACCCAACGCTTCTTGCAAACTCTTCCAAAAATCAGAAGTAAATCTTGGATCTCTATCCGACACAATGCACAAAGGAACACCATGCAGCTTCACAATCACACTACTGTAAATCTCAGCCAACTTTGACACTGGAAAACTGATGTTAATAGGAATAAAATGAGCCGACTTTGTAAGCCTATCAATAATCACCCAAATTGAATCATATCCTATTATAGTATTAGGTAACCCCGTCACAAAGTCCATCGAAATGCTATCCCATTTCCATTCTAGAACTTCTAACGGTTACATCAACTGTGCAGGCTTCTGATGTTCAACTTTAGACTTCTAACAAGTCAAACATACATACACAAACCGAGCCACATTACTCTTCATTTCAGGCCACCAAAACAAACCTTTCAAATCATGATACATCTTTGTAGCTCCTGGATGAATACTCAACTTACTTTTATGACTCTCTTCAAGTATCAGTTTCTTCATCTCAGCATCACCAAGAATACAAATCTGGTTACAAAATCTCAACACGCCTTGCGCATCTAGCTTGAAATCATTATTCTCAGACTGATCGATCCCAACCATCGAATCTACCAGTTTCATATCCAACTTTTGGGCTTCTCTGATGCTGTCTAGAAATTCATTATTAATCTTCAACATACCTAACATAACACTCCGCAGCATAACCTCACAAACTAAGCTCATATCTCTGAACTGTTCAATTAATTCCAACTCTTTAACCATCATTGCTGACACATGTAAAGTCTTTCGACTC